CCCCAGCATTAGGGAACGGGGGTGGTGGAGACCCCAAAGGTGGGGTACATTGGGTAGTGGAGACCCCAGCGTTGGGGTCTGTTGGGTGGTGGAGACCCCAACATTGGGGTCTGGTGGGTGGTGGAGACCCCAGTGTTGGGGAACAATGGGTGGTGGAGACCCCAACGTTGGGGTACATTGGGTAGTGGAGACCCCAGCGTTGGGGTCTGGTGGGTGGTGGAGACCCCAGTGTTGGGGTCTGGGTGATGGAAACCCCAATGTTGGGTTCATTGGGTGGTGGAGACCCCAGCATTGGGGTACAATGGGTGGTGGAGACCCCAATGTTGGGGTCTGTTGGCTGGTGGAGACCCCATGATTGGGGTACATTGGGTGGTGGAGACCCCAATGTTGGGGTTGGAGACCCCAATGTTGGGTTCATTGGGTGGTGGAGACCTCAAGATTGGTGGTGGTGGTGGTGGGCGGTGGAGACCCCAAATTTGAGGTTGGAGACCCCAAAGTTTTGGGATTTGTTGGGATTGGAGACCCCAGCATTGGGGTACGTTGGGTGGTGGGCCCCAAAGTTGGGGGTGGTGGGATGGTGGACCCGAAAGGTTGGGTTGGAGACCCCCAAAGTTGGAGTTCATTGGGTGATGGACCTCAGAGTGGGGGCTGGAGACCCCAAAGTTGGGGTTGGAGACCCCAAGGTTGGGAGTTGTTGGGTGATGGAGACCCCAGAGTTGGGTTTATGGGATGGTAGACCCCAAAGTTGGGGTTTGTTGAGTGGAGACCCCAAAGTTGGGTTTATGGGATGGTAGACCCCAAAGTTGGGGTTGGTTGAGTGGAGACCCCGAAGTTGGGTTATGCTGAGGGACTGGGGGGGTCTTTGGGGTCTGTTGGGTGAAGCCCCCCATTTAGGGGTGAGCAGATCCCCCCCTCTTCGTGTTGGGGTCCATCGGGTCCCAGGTTGGGGGGGGGTGGCTCCCTTCGTTAGCGGGGCCGTTCGTTAGCGGGGGGGAGGGGAGGGGGGAGCACCACTAACCGCCTCACCACCGGGTGTACAGATTTTATAGGGGAGGGGCGGGCGGGGGCGCGTTTTTACCCCAATAAAAGTGATTTTGGTTAAAATGGCCGCATGTTTGGGGGGGGGAAGGGGGCACTAATCCCACTAACACCAATGGGGACCCATAGAAACCCTATAGAAGTCCCTATAAGGACCCCGTGGGGCTGTATAGGAATCATAAAGGCCCTATAAGGGCCATAGGGACGCCCCCCCCCGGCCCTATAGGAGCCATAGGGTCTCTCTCTCTTGCAGGTCTCCCTCCAAGGACAAAGGCTCCTGATGGGATCAGCCACCCCTTCCGGGCCATATAGGGGCCGTATCGCCCCCCACCCTGTCCCCTATAGGAGCCATATGCACCTCTCCGTGCCCCATAGGCTGTATATGCCCTATAGGAGCCGTATGGTTTCCTTACACCCTATTGGATCCATATGGGTTTTCTCACGCTGTATATAGGGCTCCTTTAAGCCCTATAGAAACCGTATGGATCTCTCCACGGCCCATAGGAGCCACCTGGATTCCCCGTGCCCTACAGGGGCTGTGGGGACCCTCTGAGCCCTATGGGGCCATATGGAGCCTTTGAGCCTTATAGGAACCATATGGACACTCCGTGCCTTACAGGAGCCCTATAGGAGCTCTGGGAGAGGGGCCGTATGGACTCCCTGTGCCCTATAGGAGCCATATGGACGCTCCATACCCCACCCCATATGCCACTCCCTCCCTCACTCCCCCACGTGCCCTTCATACCCTATAGGATCGTCCTTGACTCCCCCCTCCCTGCGCGTTTCGGGTGCAACTTAATATTATTTTGGGGCAAATTCACGCAGTTTTGGTTCATTTCCATCTCCCTTCCCCCCCCCCCGCCCCCCATTGGGAACACAGAGCCGTTACCCCAAAGCAGAACCTTTAATGGTCCTCCAGGCGCCCAGAGCGGCCGCGTGACGTCACTTCCTCTCTCCTTCCCACTTCCAGTGACCATAGAGAGGTCCTCCAGCAGGAGGGAAGGACCACAGGGAGGTCCTCCAAGGCGAGGGAGGAAAACCATAGAGAAGTTCTCCAGTGGGAGGCACAAGGACCATAGAGAAGTTCTCCAGTGGGAGGCACAAGGACCATAGAGAGGTCCTCCAGAGGGGAAGGTGGGGAGAAAAACCACAGAGAGGTCCTCCTGGGGGAGGTAACACCACAGAAAGGTCCTCCAAAAGGAGAGCAGTTCTCCCTCTACAGAGGTCCTCCAGGAGGAGGCAGCAAGACCATAGAGAGGTCCTCCGGGGGTGGGGGGCAGGATGGAGGAATGCCTTCGAGAGGTCCTCTGAGGGGACTTCTAACACCACAGAGTTCTCGGGGAGGCAGTGAAACCGCAGAGAGGCCCTCCCCCTACAGAGGTCCTCCAAGGGGAGGCACACGACCATAGAGAGGTCCTCCAGCGGCAGGAAGACCATAGAGGAGACTTAGAGCGGCCCACGGAAGGGGAAGGAGAGGCAGCACCCCCTCGCGGTGCTCCTTCCCAGGTCCTCCAAGGGCCTCCCAGTTGTTCCCAGTTGCTCCCAGTTGCCCCAGTGTCAGTGCAGCAGGCGGGCCAGCACCCAACAGCCCAGTGTCACCCAGTGACTGGCCCAGTTCAGCTCCGACCACTTCCTGATGGTGTGGGCCATGCCGTAGCCCTGCGGGGGGGAGGGGGGACAAGATGGCGCTGGGGGGATGGGAACCCCAATATGGCC